GTGCTAGGGGCACCCCAGCTCCTCCTGGCTGTGAGGGACCCAACAGAGCAGCCTCCCATGCAGGGGGTTCTCCGCCCACAGAAGACCCAGGCCCCCCAGCTTGGCTGGAGGAAGCAGGTAGGCAGGAGAGGAGCCCCCCAACCCAGGCCCCAGGGTGGGGTGGGGGGGATGGGAAGAGGTGAGCAAAGGTGGGGTCTCATCCAGCCCCCTATCTCCCCCACTTTCCTCTTGTTGATCTGCGGGTGACGGGGAGCACAGAGAGGTTTAGACTCTATGCATGGCCACACAGCTCGTTGTGGGGATGAGGTTACAGCTTCCCATGGGGGAATCCCCTTGGCTGTTGGGGTGTCCCGCTGGGGGGCGCCATCTTTGTGTCTCACAGATGGGCGGGAGCTGGCACCTTCAGCCATGCTGGGGGGCTCCCCACTTTGGCTGAAGGAGATAGGCTTGGGGAACCCCAGTGTCTTAGTTAACAGAGTGTGTGTTGGGGAGGGTATCTACTCCATGGACCCTCTGGGCCTCACAGCGGGGGTCTCCTGGGGTGGGGGGGTCCCACCTCCTTTGCTCACAGCTGGGGGGAGGCAGGAGAGGGAGCAGACAGGCAGGCAGAACACAGACACACAGGGACAAACAGAGTCACGAGCAGGACAGGCAGACGGGGCGGACAGGGAGCCCCACTTACAGGAACCAGCTTCCAGTACCAGCGCGTGGGGCACTGATGCCAGACAGGCAGAGAGGAGAGGAGCAGGGGCCGGCGCGGGGCAGAGGGCAGAGCCAGAGAGAGACAGAGAGAGAGAGAGGGGCGAGTCACCTCCAGCCCCCCACCACGTCAGGAACGCCGCAAGGCCCAGCCAGCTCCCACCGCCCGGCAGGCCCCGCGCCCACCCTGTGGTCCCTCCGCACGCCCGGGCCTCACCGAGGGCTGCGCCGGGGCCGCACCGTCCGCGGGGGGTGCGGGCGATGCCCGCTGTGCCGCCTCCTGCTCTGTCTTCTCCTGTAGCCGCCGCACGGTCTTGGGGGACGGGTAGGGGAAGAGGTCAGCGCACTGGTCCCAGGGCCATTCCGGGCCCCGCACCCCAGCCTCATGCCCTACCTACCGTGTCCACCCAGAAAAGCAGCTTGTGCTCCAAGCTGGTCACGGCCAAGGGCCCTGGCAGCGTCTTTGTCCACTCAAAGGCAAAGGCCACCATGAGGGCATCGATGACGGCCAAGTGGGCGCCCTGTGGGAAAATGGCTATAGCGTGAGACCCAGGGGCGGGGTGTAAAAGCCCTCGTGGTGGGAGGGGCTGAGGGGGTGGGGCCAGGGTTAGTGGGTGGGGTCGTAGGGTAAGGGACCCGAACAGGGGGTCTTAGATGGGCTGTAATGGCCCAGAGGTTGTGCTGGGTCATGAGGGCCAAAGGATCCCCATTAGAACAAAGGACCAGTCAAGGCAGGAGAACCTTGAGGGAGGAGCCAGGATTGGTGGGAGGAGTGAGGGCTGGGGGGTGGGGCTTGCAGGGAGGAGTCAGGGCTGCTGGGCGGGGCTTGAGAGGAGGGCCAAGGCTGGTGTGGGAGGGACCTGTGGGGAGGAGCCAGGCCGGGTGGGTGGGCTTGAGGGGGAAGAGGCTGCTGCTGGGAGGAGCCTGGGGGGGAGTGGCCAGGTCTGGTAGGTGGGGCTTGCAGGCAGAGGCCAAGCCCACTGGGCAGGGCCTGATGGGCAGGGGTGGGAGCTACCATGAGAATGGGCTGGTGCCTCAGGTCCGCCTCCCGCACGGGGCGCTCCGGCAGCGCGGGTACCGTGCCCCTTCGTGCCAGCAGGGCCAGCAGCGCCGAGGGGCTGGGGGGCGTCTCGAGCTGCGGCAGCGCCTGTCGCCAGGCCCGGCAGTAGAGCTCGGCCGAGAGCAGCAGCCGCGTCACGGGGGGCTTCACGTGCTCCTGCGCGTACTGGTCAGTGTAGAAGGGCTCCCACAGCTCCGGGGGCACGTGCTCTGCAGGGGCGTGGGGGGACACGGGGGTCAGGGCCGCCACCCACACACACACACACACACACCCCATCCCATGAAGGCGCCGGGAGGGAGCACAGGGCAGGCGAGGTGTGGCCAGGCAGGGAGGAGCCTGCAGGTACCAGGGCCGGAAGTTGGGGGGCAGCACAGCGCCTCCTGGCAGGCCCCGGGGAGCAGCAGTGACCAGGGCCCTCCTGAGCTTGGAGACTTCGGGCAGGGCACACCCCTGGCAACGCCCTCTTACAGAGAAGGAAAGGGACCAGCACAAGACCACACAGCTCTCGGAGGCTGGGCCTGGCACGCAAAGCCAGACCCTAAACAAATTCTCGCTCTGCTTGGAGGCTGCGGCGGAGGAGCGCAGGGGTGGTGGGCGAGGGACCAGCAGAACGCAGACCCTGTGTGTTCTGAGGTGCCTGGGGCCTGGCAGGGTCTCACAGGGAGACAGCAGGTGGGGAGGTGGAAGCCGGTCCCAGAGGCAGCCCTGAGAACTCCCATAAGACCAGGAGAGCAGGTATTCGGGATGCTGCCCGGTCTCCCACATCAGAGGGCTTGGGTTTGAGTCTGACTCCGCCGCTGCACAGCCTGGGAGGCAGCAGCGATGGCCCAAGTGCTTAGGTCCCTGCACGCACCCCCGTGGGAGACCGGGATGGAGTTCCAGGCTCCTGGCTTCAGCCTGGCCCAGCTCCAGCTGTTGCGGTCATTTTGTAGGATGAACCAGCAGATGGGGGACTCCCTGTCTCTCATTCTCCCTCTCTCTGCCTTTCAAATAAATAAGAAT